CAGGGATGTGGAAGCCACAAAGAAGGGGAGCGGGGGCAAGAAGGCGCTGGGTAAGCACGGCAAAGGGGGAGGGGGCGTCGGGGAGCCAGGCAAGAAGAAGAGCAAGTCGGACTCCAGAGCCTCGGTGTTTTCCAACCTGCGGATCAGGAAGAACCTGTCCAAGGGGAAAAGCGCCGGCGGCTCCCGCGAGGATGTGCTGGACTCTCAGGCCCTGCAGACCGGGGAGCTGGACAGCGCTCATTCCCTGGTCACCAAGACCCCGGACCTCAGCCTCTCTGCTGATGAGACGGGCCTGTCGGATACCGAGTGTGCGGACCCCTTTGAGGTGACCCGTTCAGGTGGTTCTGGGCCAGCTGAGGCTGGGGTCGGGAGCCAGGCGGTCGCTCAGGATTTGGAAACTGCAGCAGGGGCGCAGGATGGACCAAGGACCAGTTCGGGCTCGGACACGGACATCTATAGTTTTCACTCTGCCGCGGAGCAGGAGGATTTGCTTTCAGACATTCAGCAGGCGATCCGCCTGCAGCAGCAGCAGCAGCAGCTCCAGCAGCAGCAGCTCCAGGGCTGCGAGGAGCCTGCAGCGCCCCCCACTGTCGCGTCCCCTCAGCTCGGGGCCTTTCTGGGCCTTGACCGGTTCCTGTTGGGGCCGAGTGGCGGGACTGGGGAGGCCCCCGCCAGTCAGGACACAGAGCAGGCGCTGTCCGCGCTCTCCGACCTACCCGAGAGCCTGGCCCCCGAGCCCCGGGTGCCCCAACAGCCGTCCTCTCCAAGCAGCCGTCTGGCCTCTGAGGCGCCTGGCCTCCTCGCGGCCCAGCCGGAGACTGTAGACTCGTCCTCACCTGAGGCCTTCGCATTTCCTGTGGCCGGGCCAGGGGAGGGCGCGGTTGGACCCCCCGATGGAGGGACTGGGGACACGGATGAGGAGGGTGAGGAGGATGCTTTTGAGGATGCCCCTCGGGGCTCTCCAGGGGAGGAGTGGGGCCCGGAGGTGGGAGAAGCCTCGCAAAGGCTGGGAGCAGAAGCAGAGGAGGGGGCACCAGGGACTGCCACCCCCACGGCCACCTCTCTGCCCGGGAGTCCCGCACCCAGCCCGCGCTGCTTCAAGCCCTACCCGCTCATCACCCCCTGCTACATCAAGACCACCACCCGGCAGCTCAGCTCGCCCAACCACTCCCCGTCTCAGTCCCCCAGCCAGAGCCCCAGGATTAAGAGGCGGCTGGAGCCCTCCCTCAGCCGGGGATCCAGAACTGCTGTGACCTCTGCGGCTGTTCAGGCCAAGAAGCACCGGGCGGACAGCGGCCTGGCGGGCGGCCTGAGCCGCTCCGCAGACTGGACCGAGGAGCTGGCGCGCCCCTGGCTGGGGGCGCGCCGCACCTGCTGGAGCGTGGAGTGGCCGCGGACAGCGGCGGCGGGGCACCCCTGGCACTGACCGCTAAGCCGGCGGATGGCTTCCAGAACGTGTTCACAGGTGAGCGCGCCTTGCGGCCGGCCTCCAGGTCCCACGTCGCCTGCCAATAAGGGTCTTCCCCTGCCACCTGTCCTCTCTGGGCTCTGAAAGCCCCCTAGACCTGCTAGTGGCACGCCTCTTCTTCATAGGGAATCCTCTTCCACTCAACTCGACCCCTTGGTGAAATGCCTTGGACTGACTTGCTGGGTTTCTGTTTTCTTATGTGGCAGTACAGGGAGCCACTTGGTTGGTTGTCTCTGCCCTAAGTAATTTCTAGGAAGGGCTGCCCCTTTTATCAAAATATCTGCCTTCTCTATGTTTAGGGTCATACCAGGCCGATAAATTCCTTGCTTGACTTGTCAGCTAAACCATCATTCTTCTCTTAACTTTCTCATCACCTCGGCATGAAAAAGAACAAACTTGGTCATGGCCTTTTCTAATGAAGGCGCAAACGATTTATCTTAGTACCATCAAAGTCATCGGACTGTTCAATTGTATAGGCACATAATATGTAGTTTGGTCATGCAGATTAATCTGCATGACCAAACTTAGTAAAATAGGTACTCCTGTTTGCTGATGCAAGCAAGTCTGATACATGCTACTAGAAAATCAGTAAGAAAATAGAATATTAGGGTTCATTTCCACTTGGTTTCATGGTCCTGTCTGAACAGGCTTTGATTTGGAAACAGTGAATGTAAGAAGGCCCAAAGCACATCTGGTCCACCTGATATCTCTCTACCTTAGCATTTGTGATAAGCCCTCACACACAGGGTGGCATAAAGCACAGTTAAAGGGTCAGTTTATTGTGGCAAATGTCTGGTAATATAATTCGTTTATCCAATCCCAAGGCCCACTAGTAGAGTGTCAGTTTGTTAACTTAGCATCTTCTCCTAATTATTGAATGAAATATAGCTTTAGAATTTAATGAATAGGGAAAAATTAATTTTATGCTAGTACAGGTGGATTTGTAACAGATATTTGAATGGTTAAAAATTTCAAATGCGGGGCCAGCATGTGACACAGTGGTTGAGGCACTGAACTCCCACATGGCCTACCGTGGTTTGAGTCCTTAACCTGGTGGCTTGAATATAGCACCAGATGTGTGTGTGTGTGTGCATGTGCATGCCCAAGATCCCAAGAAAAGAATGCAGAAGAAGGGATTGCAGTGTGGCCATCTCTTCTGGGGGGTGTGATTTCTCATTTCCTCTCTGTCTTTCTCTCTCTCCAGTGAATGCATATAAATATGGCAAAAATCTTAAGTCTTTTTTTTTCCCAAATGCAATTAGGTTATCTGTAAAATGAGGTAAATGTCTTAATGAGGATGGCTAGTTTTTTATTGGCAAAATACTGTTAATGTTGTGGTAGCACTTTTGTTGACCACATTTTAAGGAAAGTGTTATATATGTTAATCATAATCATGTGTGTCTGTGGATGAGAAAGAGAAAAAGAGAGGCACCTTGACACAGTCTCATTACGCCAATCCCACCCCTTGCCCCTAGCCCTGCAGCTTGTCAGGTTCTTAGGCATGGCTCATGTGCTTAGTGGGTTTTCAGGCCAGCCCTAGGGATTCAAACCTGTGGTTGGCCATGTGGCTTCCAGCACTGCAGTTCAGTTTGCTACCAACTATGCTACCAGGCTGAGCCTTTCCACATTTTAATTTTCATCTAGGGACTACCTTCTATTTTGTATTTAGATATTCTTATGCTTGAAAGTGGACTCTTCTCATTTTGCATGTGTTTTTTCCCATTTTTTTCTTCCTTTTCTTTATTGTATAGATTCAGTAAAAAGATGTTTGAAGTCTTACACCCACTAGATAATTGTTTACAAAAAAAGATCACTTTTTTGGAGAGGTTTTTGTTATAGGGCGCGAGCACTTGACAGAGACAGAGACAGAAAGCCAGAAATAACCCCCCGGGGGGATGGCCACACCGCAGTCCCTTCTCCTCCATTCTCCTCTTGGGATCTTGGGCACGCACGCACATGCCCGTGTAAGTTTAAGCCACCGGGTCCGGGACTCAAACCGTGGTCGACTACATGGAAGTCCAGTGACATAGCCATTACTCCAACTGCTGATCCCAAAGGCCACTTTTTGAAAAAGATCCAAAAGTTCTTGAGTTAATTTTGTGAAGTTAATATTGGTAAGCCCTCAGGTATTGGGTTGCCAGGAAAGTCATGACGTATTTTTTTCTATGTTGCAAAAATGTGTCATGACTTTTCTGACAACCTGTTATTTTCTCTATGTCTAGATGATATTATCTGTAGGGCGCGTGCGCTCGCCAGACAGACAGAGAGAGACATAGAGACAGAAAGCAAGAAATCACCCCCCAGGGGGGATGGTCACGCCGCAATCCCTTCTCCTCCATTCTCCTCTCGGGATCTTGGGCACGACGCACACGCGCCCAGCGTGAGTTTTAAGCCACCGGGTCCGGGACACGAACCGCGGTCGACTACGTGGGAGTCCAGCGACATAGCCATTACGCTAACTGCTGGTTCCCATTATTTGTATTTCTTAAAAAGTGAAAATAATCCACAATTCAGATTATCAGTCATTAATATTAACAATTGCTATTCCTAGTAGCAGAAGACTGAGAATTTGTTCATTTCATTCATTTAGCATATGAGTGGGGATACAAACATATATATGACTTCTATATGTATGCACTGTCTGTTGTGAGTGTGTGTGTGTGTGTGTGCGTACGTATGTTGAGTAGTCATGTTGTGCCAGACAATATATTAGATGGTAGGCAACACACACACGCAGATCGTGAAGTCATTGTTCCACCTTTCCAAGACCCACCAGATGAAGAGGGGACATGGAGTAAGTCAGCATACAGGAAAGTATAAGTATAGGTATGGAGATATGCAGGGCAATGTTCTAGGAGCATCCGGATGCAATGGCTTGTCTCCTTGGCAGTGTGTAAGGTATGAGGACTCGACAGAGGGTGAAACAGAGCCCTGAAAGATCATAGGACCCTAAATAGGTTCAAGTATTGTTTTCCTTAGATTAAGAAAATTGTATTTTGTATTCTTGGAACTTGTGCTGCATTTTAAGTCTTTCCAATTTTGAAATTTGGGAGTCTTATAATTCTGAGTTCTGTTTAGGAAGCACCTGCATTTTTCTGCCTAGGCAAGCTTTTTTTTTTTTACAGTGCAGATTAAGAGTGCAGAGTTTGTCATCTTAATATGGAATTACCTACTTTGTATTGATGGTTGGATACAGTTGGGCCATAACCAGCAGAAATATCTATGTCTTTACCTCAATCACTCTGCACTGTTCAGAAAAAAAGAATCTGTAGGTTTAACCTAACCTTATGACTAATGGGGAAACGGAAGTAGAGAAAGGTGGAATAACTTTCTTAAGGTCATCACACCGTGATTCATTCAGAGGCAGAGCCAGAAATAGAAGCTGAGTCTAGTCTCAATATCCTTGCTTATTACTCATGTTTGGGTGTTCAACGCTTTAAGGCAACAGATAGAGCAAAAGCTGCTTCTAACATTGTTACAGAATTGAAGGCTTTGCTTAGGAGATTTTTCCAGTTTCTGTTTTTAATAAGGTGTATTTCTTCAGTGGTTGAACATCTGGCCTCTTTTGGGCTAGAGGAAGGGTGATTGCTGGCCAAAGTGAGCCAGATTTTCTCTAGGCGGCCCTCATGGAAACTCTTCTTGCAGTGGTAGAGTGAATCCAGACTGACACAGGCCCTGTTTCTCAGCTGTTGACGCTTTTCTTGTCATCTGGCATCCCCCTTGCTTTTTGTTGTTTTTAACCATCCTTTGCTATTTTATGGGTGTCTTGGAAGTTACCAGAGGCTTGGGAAGCACTAGCATTGTCCTTTGGGACATTGTTTTTTGGCCTTAATTTTGTATGAATTTGGATCAATGAATTGCCAGCTGGCTTTGAAGCAGGTGATCATTAGATGTATAAGCTTCCATAAACGTCTTGTATTTTTAAACCAGAGAATGAAGGTTGTCAGCTCTGCAGGAAGGAACAGATGTTTTCTGCTAGCTACTGCCTTCCAAATGTGGGGAGAATATTCAAATGAGAAGGGATTTCCATGGCGCATGTTTGTGTTTATTTGATAGTTATAAACACATTTCGCAGTGAGGGAGACCAAAACTTTATCTTGTTTTAGCTGATGCTGTCTTAGGCCATTGCATTTAAATATTTCACAGTGAATTTGTTTGAGATATATCTTTTTATAGTGTTTAGTAGATAAAATAATTGCTTCTAAGATTTGAGAGGTCCCTTTACACATCAAGTATAGCAGAGGCTTGGTAATAGACTTTTGTAATTACTTAAAATTTAGACATCTGGGCTGGCAGGTGGTAAGGCACTGGACTCCCACATGGCTGACTGTGGCTTGAATCTTGGACCGGTGGCTTGCTTTCTCACTTTCTCTTTCTTTCTCTGTCTTGTTTTGGTCAAATTAAAAAATACAAATACATAAAATGTAAAAAATTTAGATATCTAACATGTTAAATTTGTGATGCTAAATCACTTTTTTAGGGGGTGGGGGAGAGGTTTCTGCCATAGGGCGTGTGTGCTCGCCAGAGAGACAGAGAGACAGAAAGCGAGAAATCACTTCCCGGGGGAGTGGGCACACCGCAATCCCTTCTCCATTCTCCTCTCAGGATCTTGGGCATGCACGCACACGCACCTGGTGTGAATTTAATCCACTGGGTCTGGAATATGAACCGTGGTCGACTACATGGGAGTCCAGCGACATAGCCATTATGCTAACTGCTGGTCCCCGCTAAATCACTTTTGATAGGAATCTTTCCAAAGTTAGTTATGTACTTACTTGTCTTTTCTTAGACACATACAATAAAAATGTGATGTTTTAAAGGGCTCGATCTCATTTTTAGGAGCATCATTGTTGCTTCATGTGAAAACATTAGTGATGCCCTCAGCTATTGAAATACACGGGCTGGTGGCCTGAAGCTTGCAGTTTCTGGTTTCTTTTTTTTTTTTTTTGGAGAGGTTTTTCGCTCTAGGGCGCGTGTGCTTGCCAGACAGACAGAGA